TCTTTAACAACTACACGGAATGATTGTGGGAATACAAAGCGGCTTCACAATCTTTGCTGAGGACCTGGATAATGAATCAGCCAAAACCTTTAGTCTTTCTGAGATAAATACGGCCCATACAGCTGACAAGGAGGAATGCAAAAAGATGGAACAAAAAGGTATGGCTCACAAAGAACCGCAAACCAAGAGAATATAACCTTCATTAAAGAATACACTCTACTAAAAGAAGGACAACAACCACCTAGCTAAAAAATCAATATCCAACGTTAAAACTCTTTCAGTTTTGCTACATTTGCTAAGCAAGCAAAGAGTTCAAAGAGAAGACACAGCTAAATGCATATTCAAAGTCATTATTGAAGTTGAAAGGAGTGAAACACCACATGGAAGCTTCAAATATTTATACACAAAACTGTAAAATCGGCATAACAGTTACTTTCCTCGTTCAAATACGACTCCAAAGAACTATGAAACACGAAAATGAGAAGAAGAAAGGGTTGAAGTGACGCTTAAAACCAAAAATATTCAAATTCACACACTTGTCAAGTGAATTCGAGCACAAAAACGATCAAGATCCTGGCTAAATCAATCCAAACAATCGAGAAACCCTAACCCGAAAAAGCAGAGGAAAATCGTGAATCGAACATAGAAACAATAGATCCATCACTCCAAACACGAAAACGAAAAAAATCGAACACTAGAAACTCCGATTAAGAAACCCTAAAATTTAAAACACAAAGCGACAATTCACAATCCACAACCCTAAATTCATAAACACACGGACAAAATTTGGTAAAAAAAATTAAAAAGAAAAATCGACCGCCAAAAAGAAGAAGCCGATTATTGTGCAAAACAAAGAGGCCGACCTTTATGAAAAAAATGAGAGCTTTTTGGGTCTAAAGATAAGCTTTTTTGTGTATAAATGGAAAGGATGCGCAGGTTAATAATCGTGCGCACCTTTTAAATCGCACCGGAAACTGAAACTCAACCGGCCGCGAAATTTTTTGAAAAGAAAAAACGATGTATTTTTATTCGGGTCTCTCCCGGGTTTACGGGTTCGGAGTGGTTCGGGTCTTTTTAATCGGCGCCGGTGGCCAGATGCAACGAGTGGAGGGTGAAAGGTCCCGATTCGAAAGGAGGAAGACGATGCGTTTTTTAGGATTGATCGTCCGATTGGGAAAAAGAGGGAAGAAAAAAATATAGAGAGAGAAAGAGTTTTTTCTAGAGAGAGAAAGATAATCAAATGGAAAAAAAGAAAAAAAAATTAAGATGCGATATAAGAGGGGGGATTTTAATTACGTTTGGAGAAACGTGTTTATAGAAACTCCCTGTCTCTCTAATCTTTATATCTACAATAACATTTCCCTAGTTTTGTCTTTTCATTTTTATTTCTTCTCTATTTCTTTTTTTATTTACGTGCAGCGAACGGTATGCCCCCACGTGGCGATGGTATGTGTCGGGAGATTTTGGGCGATTAATCGTACGTGCACAGGGTAATGGTGGTGGGTTTGGGAAAACATTGATGAGGGTTTCTTCGTCTGGTCCCTTTTTGATAGTGGAGGAGGATAAAATGGCGAAATGGCAAGAAGGCCCTTGAAAGGAGGGGGAATGTACCTTGTGCGGATCAAAAATCGGGGAGCAGGCCCTAACAGAGGGTGAATTAGGATGCCCCCGTTTTAGCATTTTATGCCAAAATTCTGCATTTTCATACGAAGCTGTCTTTGTTTTCACTTTTTTTAAAATAGAAATATATAGAATTCATATTTATTTATTGTATGGTTTTCATAATAAAATTTATGAATAAATTAATTAACTGATAAATTTAATCTATTATTATATAATACTAATAAATTAAAAAATATTTAATCAAATACTTCAAACTCAACATATACTATATTATATTATTATATAACATAATAATGATAAATTAAAACATATTTAATTATATACTTCAAAATCCACATATAATAATTAAATTACAATATAAAAAGTTTGACAAATATATAAAATAATAAATATAAATTAACTAAAATAAAATATAATTGTCTACCGTTACAATGCTTGTTTAATTTTAAAATTATATAATAATATAATAATTATTTCATAAATTAGACATATTTCAAGTAATGTTATATCTTATAATTTGAATATCATAATACAAAATATTAATAACAATAGTAAAATACACTAACAAGCTCAACTTTTAACTATAATTATTCATTAATTTTTAAAGTAGACACTCCATTTTAAATGTATAAATGATACTAATACTTAAATATAAAATATCTAAAATATTCTCTTTCTTTTCCACTTTTCCCTTTCTCTTAAGTTGGTCGGCAACATTCCTTTACACCAATTGCCCATCCAGCTCTTTGGGTTCCTTGGGGAGTTTCCCTAACCGTGGGTGGCTAAAAAGAATTTTAAAAAAAAAATAAAAAATTATAATTTATATGATGATAATTTTTTAAATTAATGAAAGATAAAATTATCTTAAAATATTATCATATTATTAAACTAATAGAAACGTAATGGTTGATTAACGGTAAAACTTATGTATCCAGTGAAAATATTTTTTTGAGATGAAATGTTTATTTTAAAAATTAATGAATTCATTTGTAATTATAATTAAAAATTAAAAGTATTAGTATATTTTATTAAAAATATAATAAAAAAATAAAATACTTTCACTTTTTAACTTTTAGGTATAATTTCACAGGCATCTATTAATATTAGAAATAGACAGTCTAGTTCAAAAGTGTAAACACCATTAACAAAAAATATAAAAATACTAAAATACATTTTTTTCTTTATTAATTTTAAAAATTATTATTATATAATTTTTAAAAAAAAATCAAGGAGCACCTTGATTTTTTTCTAATTTTTTTTGTAAAAAATTATATATTTTTTTTAAAAATTATATAATAGTAATTTTTAAACTAATAAAAGATAAAATTATCTTTTTAATAGTACCACATTATCAAACTAATAGAAAATACTAACGTTTAACTAACGACTAGATTTATATATCTAGTAAAAGTTTTTTTGAGATAAAATGTTTATTTTAAAAATTATTGAATTCGTTTGAAATTTTGATTAAAATTAAAAAAAATAGACCCATATTAATTATTATTTATTTAAAAATAAAATATTATATGTTTTAGAGTGATACGTGTCATGTAGCAAAAAATTAATTCACCTCATCAAGTCATCCATAAATATCACACCATCCAAGTTAAAAGCAAAATCTTAACGTCATTATTAATTGTCCTTAAATCATTAAAATTGGATTAAGAGACTAAAATTTTTTAAAATTGATTTAGTAAAAGAATCAATTTCAACCTTCAATCATTTATTTATGTATACAAAGAAATGCCCCGATAAGCTTTAGAATGTGGGTTCCTTTTCATTTTGGACCTCCATCAACTAGTTATGGGTGACATTTTAGAAGAATATTCAATGGGCATTAGGAGATGGACTCATAACACGGTTTTAGATGGATATTTGTAGACTTGGCAATACGTGTTTTTGTGTTTAAACGTATCAGACATGGTTAAATACGAAACATGTTAAGGTTAAACACGAACACAATATGAATACTATTTGTATCTTAAATTTGAAATACATATACGTATACGTTTAATAACCGTGTAACATGACACGATTAACGCATTTGTTAAATATATTAATATATGACACGACATGATTAATAACACAATTAGCATATTTAACATGATTAAATTAAATTATTTAAAATTAAATATAATTTTATTATTTAAATTTTAAAAGCAATGATTATAAAAACAATTATAACAAAAAATAACAACAACATCAAATATAATAAAACAAAATTTAAAATTAGAGTTTGGGTATGGCATAATTACATAATTATTTTTATAAAATTTGACGATCTGATTAAAACCATTGTTTAAAATTATTTAAGTGAGGTCAAAATAGTATTTGACTATTAATTTTTAATAAGTTGATATACTTGTTATGTATATACGTTTAAACATGATAACACAATTAAATACGTTTATACATTTTAATACGATAACACGATTAATTAAGCTTATTTAAATATGTTAATTGTATTTGGCACGTTAAGACAAAAAAAATTTCAAGTCTTAAAAGTGTAAGACACGATTAGATACTAAATACATTATGGTTAAACTTAAATTTGTTTAATCTCGTGTCTTTTCATGTCATATGAACGTGTTGTGTCTAAAATTGTTAAGTCTAGATACTTGGGTGGAGGAGTGTCCTCTTGTTGAAGCTGTGAGGTCAATGGTATTTTTATTCGAAGATCATAATTGTGTTTGAGTTAGTGGATGGTGCATGGGATTTCAACAGCTTGTCGACTTACCTTCCACATGACAAAATTACATTGGTTTCTAAGACCTCTGCACCTTATCATGTTAATCACCTTAATAGACCATATTGGGTTTTATCGTTTTTAAGATATTTTTACAGTGGCTTCAACAAAATCATTTTTGAGGGATCTTACTGATTCAATTTCAAACTATAGCTCAAGAAGGGGGCCATTAGCATGGAAATGGAAAAGGCCTTAGAGAATCAAGATGTTTATTCTCCAGTACTTACATAATCGACTTCTAACAAATGAAGAAAGATGTTATAAACATCTTACATTCCTTAATTTCTTTTCTCTCCGCTCTTTGGTTTAACGACTTTTATTCATATAAGATTATGTTACAGAAACAATTCAAATTAGACCCAACTTTTGTTACAAATTTTGGAAAAAACATTTGTTACCCGAAAACTTTTACCAAAGTTTCAATTTCCTCCTGTTACTTTGAAGGGCTACAACTACAGATATTTTCTCTTAAACTTTTTAATATGCCCAAAAAGAAAATGAAAAACCTTTGATAGGCGAATCAGCAGGCGTTCCACTGGGCTTGTGTTGCATAGCATATTGCTCTATAATAATTGTGGGCTGAGAAGATGGGTTTTCTATCAGGTTTCTGTCCACGTGGCTAAAACCCAAAGAACAACCATGGAACTCAAAAGGGGAGCAGCATTTCCCGTTCCAGAAAATAACGTCAAACATCATCAACTCAACTCAAAATGAGTTGCAGTTTCACTTGAAGAAATTCAAAAATATGGAGCATTCATCTTCTTCATCAATGTCAAGCTTAAGCTTAAAGTTAAAACCTCCTCCTTCATTAATGACCAGTAACCTTAATGCTAACTCTTACTGGGGCAAGAGGAAGAAGGGAAGGAATTGCTTGCTTCAAGCCTCTGCAATTTCTTACCAGAAATTCATTCACTTTGCTCTCAATGAAACCAAACGCCATTCTCTTTTGGTACCCCTCCCCTCCAGGTAATGGGTTCCTTCTCTTTTTTTTTTTTTTTACCTTTTAATGAAAATTTTTGGGTTCTTTTTGGTTGTTCTGATTTAATTATTCTTGGGTTTAGTGTTGTTTGTAATATTTTTTCCCCATGTATCCTGGTTCTTTTCTATTATGGTTTTGAGCTTTTTGTTTAGATCTCTGAGATTTTTAGATTAGAGTTACCGCTACTGTGTCTATGAATCCTAGTGTTACTTTTATCTATTTCTAGGTTGAGGTAAATTTCACGTAAAAAATAATTAAAGAACAATGTTTGTGTCTATTTTGATGGTTTGATTATGGAAAATTCTGAGGTCGACTAGTTTATGGGGCATAATTTTTGGCAATATCTTCACAAATTGTTACTCTTTTTAGTTGAAAGAAACTCTTAGGCTCAAGTTGGTTGATGCTTTTGCTATTTGCTTTTTGCAAAAAATGAATAGAAAGAAAAAAATCAAAAGTAAAAACTGAATAGACACAAAAATTATTATCTTATAGTTAATTTATTCATGTAAATGATTGATCTTTTCCATATGGAAAAAAATTATAAATTAATTATTTTAGTTTAGACTGGCCATTTATTTTCGTGCAAATTGGACCAAGATAATGTTTTTAGGAATGTTCTTTGTTTATTTACCATTCTGTAATATCAGTTCATTTTGAACAGCAGAAATATTTTAGGATCTACTGAAATCCCATAAGGAGCGTCAAGAATGTTGCTACTTGCAATCCACCATGCCTCTTCATTGATGAAAATTGGGGGGGGGGCCGCACACTTCTTTTGGGTCTTTGTTTGAAGCATGGTGCAGTTATTGGCAGTAGAGCTTATCATTTGATTAGCCCAAATCCAGCAATAGAGCTTGTCAAGTTCAACTTTTAGCGGTTTCTCATGGGTAACAAAGGGTTATTAGGTGTCGGTGCCAGACTAGACAAAGAAGGATTTTGGGCTAATCCATCATTTCTTGCTGCCACTACCATTATTGTTTTTGTTGTTTTGGTTGATGCCGTGATGAACATTGAAACAATTGACATACTGATGTGTAAAAATTTTGGTGTGATATGAATTCATGATTTAATGTTGATTTTCCTGCTGTAAGTGCAATATAATTTTTTTCCCCTTTAGGAAAGATATAGTTCTATGATTGCATTGGATGACAAAACAAGGCTTGAAATGCTATCATTTGAGGCTCCTAGAATAAGACTACTTCGAAGTTTAAGCATTGAGGGTGAAGGTATGCAGGTATGATCTTCTAATTTGTTACCTTTAATGTTTTGAGTTCTTAAATTAGAAAATCATCAAGTTAGTCTTGGGTTTTACTACTTGAAAGACTTCAGAGTTTTCTTCTTTAACTATTTGTACTTGTTAGAACTTGTCATTATCTGTGCTTTCTCATATTGCTTTGTTGACATTATACTCATGAAAATTGTAGTAAGTTCTTTATATGGCTTATAGCTCATTAGAAGCTGTGATCTGGCTCTAATCCAAATATCTAATGCATCTTCTTCTCTTGGTTAAAGCCTTATTGTCTTTTTTTTTTTGTTTTTTAATTTACTTGGTCTTGCCATGCTTTATTTTGTTTTATTGTTGATGTGGGAGTCTATAGAAATGTCGCAGTTGAATTGTTAACTAAGAGTTACTAAAAGCTAGATTTAAAGTTTGAAGGCATAATTTGGTACATTACTGTGGACACTATATTAGTGTGTAAGTATTCCCGCCAGTCACGCGGGCGACTTGTGTTCTTTCCCTGGTGACGGTGTCAAAAACTTGTTAGTTAAAATTCTTCCTACGCAAGTATAAGCAGAGTATCTATCCTATAAAGAATTAATTTAAAATTTTACTATAAAGAATTAATTTAAAATTTTACTAAGTATTAAAATTAGAACAATTTAATCTCATCCAAACAATCAAAATCAAATAACTAAATCAATTAACAAAAACTAATTAATCAAAATTTAAACTAAAAAGAAAATCAAAGTAAAAATCAAATCAAACAAGTCTAGAATTACAATGTCCCTCACACTTCATTTAAATCTTACCTTTATTACTTAACTTATTTCAATGGGTTGAATTGCTAACCTAGAGTTCTCAATTATTTATAAAGATTTATTGACTCGTCTTATAAAAGTATCTATTTTAATCAAGACACTATATCCTATGTGAATTGAAATAAAAATAGACACATTAAGTTTAGGTTTTAATTCTAGCTACGTATGACATATATGTATATCCTTATCTTATACACAAATCAATTAATATGATTATATGCTATTCCAATTTTAGTCTACACTAAACTCCATTTTTCAAGTTTGTTTAGGTTCCTAAATCAATTTAATTGGTGACCAATCAATTAAAAAGCATTACGAATAAATTGGAATAAATAATTTAAATCCCATTAAAGATAAGCAAGAAAGAGATTTAAAAATTTAGATTACATGTGGGTTTAATTGCAATCCTAGAAAAATAAAATTAGTTACTTGTAATTACAAAGATAAACAACAATATATAAATTTCTACTCATAATTGCAAAAACAAATAACAATATATAAATTTCAACCATTGAGAGTAACAAGAAAAATAAAAGCTAAGGAAGAAAACAAAACAATTATTTACAGCCTTGTTTTTCGAGTTTTTGTCTCAACTTTCAGTTTCTTAAATCTTTATGGGTTCTCTCTTTGATTTCTCCTAAAACATCCTATTTATACTAACAATCTTAATTTAAAATTCCCTAAGTTAACCTACTAACTCTAACTTTTGGGCTTAAAAGTATAATGAGGCCTAAATATCAAATATCATCTTTACAATTTTCATTCTCGCAGTATTACACGTTGTCATCCTTGGACGTGATTTTTTTTATCTTTGAGGAAGAATTGGGCAAAGTGATATTTATGATAGTTGTAGCTTTGTCTTTTAGCTTTCCAATGGCACAATAATCTCATCATTTCGACATCGGGTGTGCAAACAGTTATTTTGGATAGTGCGGTTTTGGATATCTAATAGCCGAACTAACCGAGCTCATATTTAAAAATAACTAAAATCAAATTGAATTTTACAAATAACTGAACTAATCGAAACTGTACTAATTCAATCAGTTCGGCTCGGTTTCCGAAAATCAAACTTAGGAAATTTTTTATTTTTTGTTGTTTGTATATTTATGCTGATTTTTTTTATATGTCAATACTACAAAGATATTAAAAATGATAATAAAAAATTATAATAAATAAGATAGATACTGATACAAACAACAAGAAGTAATTAAAAACATAAATAAAAACAACAAAAAATAGTCTTGAGCAAATAACAACAAATCATTAAAATTATTCTACAATGGATAAAAAAAACAAGAAATACTTTTCTACAAATAATAGCAAATCATTAACAGTCTTCAATAATGGATAAAAACAACCAATAGTTTTGAATGCAAATAATCTTCAAAGATTACTTCCTCCCTAAATGTCTCTTGATGTCTATGGCCTTTGAGAATGCTTGGTAGTCATGAATCTTTGTTAATAAAAAATGTGAAGCCACAGAGGAAACACTTTTCTAACACCTAAAGCAAGCCCTTATTTATGGCTGATTGATTGAATCTACACTGAATTTTGGAGCTAAAGCTACTTTACAATGAGCTCAAGTAAAGTTAGACAACATAGACTTGGTTTGAAGAAATACTTTACAGCTATTTGGTCAATACCCAAAACCTGAAGCACTGCATGTAATTTATTCCTCTTGAAAAGCTCTTTCCTTCGCAATTTGTCCTAAGAATGACTCAAGGAATCACAAAAAGTTTTGTCCTTATTGTCCCAACTCCAAGGGCTTAGTTCCTGCTGAAATACCCTTTATAAAGCTTCAGTTTGTGCAACATTTTTCTCATCTCTCCTTCACTGATTGGCCAGTTGAAAGTCCAAACAAGGAGGAGAAAGAAACATCTTACTATGTTCTTTTAAGACTTACAAACAAAGCAATATAAAAGCAGAATAAAATCAGAGCATTTTATAGGGTATTGAGCTAGGTTCAAACAAAGCCTACTGATTCTTCCTTTCATGCATTCTCAACCCAGCTGGTGTATTACATATCACTAACTTTCTTTTCTGTGATATTTCCATGAACCAAAAAAACCTACCCACCTTGAATAAGCAATAACCAAAATTTTAACCAAAAAAAACTTACTCATGTTCAAAATTTCAACCAAAATTTCAACCCACCCTTGAACATAGAACAAATGGAGCTGAAATGAGAACCAAAAAAAATGAAAAAACTTACTTGAAGTGGGAAGGGTGGAGGACAGCAGCAAGCAAGAGCCAAGAGGAACCTAAGTGATGAACTAAAGAGGAGAGAAGAGGAAGAGAAGAGGCTGGAGATGGTAGACAGAGGAATAGCTGAAGAGATTAGGTTTAGGATTTATTTCCCCTGCAAAATCCCCAAAATACCCTTACTCAAGTTCGATTAGTTCAGTTAGGAAAATCCTTAATCAAAACTGAACCAAATTAATTCTAATAACCGAACTATCCTAACGGAATTATCCGAAGACTAAACTAATCGAACCAAAAAAACCGAACTCACTTTGATTTGGTTTGCATTTGCACCATCCTAATCTGTAGTGCGAGTTATGGTCAAAATACTAAAACATATGGAAGCAGAATTCTAGATCCTTCAAACACCTTACTTTCTAAAGTTAAGTCCTATTTCCTTAAATCCTACCAAAGCATAAAAACTAATAAATAATAGCCAAATTAAAGTCAATAAATATAAAATTAAAATAACTTAATGAAAATAATTATAAAAAAACTAAAAATAACTAAATTCTAATTAAAAATTAAGGACTTAGCTAATATTTAATAACAAAATTAGACAAAATAATTCTATAAAATAGAATTATCATGTCGCCCTCTAGTTTCATGAGAAATTTGTCCCAAAAACTGGTTGAGGTACAGTATAGAAAGGTAGAAGAAGAAATTACTACAGAACAAGTGGATGTAGGGTTTTTAAAAAGCAGAGAGAGATGCTCTTTCTATGTCTTGGCTATTGAGGTCTTTGTTTTCAGCTTAGTTAGTTCAAGTGATTATTGCATTAGTAAAAGCCATGCAGTTTGTCCATTGTTTTGTATATACTATGGTTTGTGCTTTTCTTGATACGAACTCTGTTTGGTCCTTCTCTTGGGTAGGTATTGGATTTTGCTGCCTTTCCAAAACAAGAATTTGATCTACCCATATTCTGTGGCAACTTCTTCACTGCTGCCAATACAAACATAGTCGTGCTGTAAGTTTTCTTTATTTACTTTCATTATTTGTGGAACATGATGTTTGCTCAATTAAAATGAATAACACAAAAGTCGAAAGGTGTTTGTATAGGCTTGTCACCATGGAATTCATTCCTCCAGAAAACTCATTGAATAGAGGGGATCGATCCCTTTAATAATAGGATTGATCCTTCTTTGAAAACTTTCCAGATTTTGCTTATGGAAAGGAGGAGATTGATCCTTTGAGCTAGTGTACAAATATCAGTTAAAAATTGCTGGTTTTTTACTGCCAAATTTGGGATTTTTGAATTTTAACCAAATTTGAAGTTTCAAACTTGTTAAAAAACCACTCTTAACTTGTGGGAATCAAAAGTTTGGGTCAAAAACAATTTTTGAACCATTTTGGCATTGTTTTTTCAAATATCCCAACTATGCCTTTTTTGTATTCAAGAGTGATTAATGGTTTAGACAAGATTTATGCATTTGAAACATTTCAAATAATGTTAAGCAACTAAGGTACAAGCAAGCATAACCAACAAATCCATATTTCAAGCTTTCAAGGGTGCAAACTCAAGAATATGCAACAAAAAAAGCCATAAATACCCTTGTAGCATCAAAGCATGGTATCATTCACTTAAAAGGTACAAAAACAAGTTCATAAGAATTTCTGTACACAACAAACTTGTTTAAGTCATTCAAGGTACTTTCAACATGTTCAACATGAGTGAATTTTTTTTCAAGCAAGGACATTAGGCCTTGGCCAAGTCAAATTGTTCCACATATCAATTAAGAGCATAAAGTTCATCAAAACCATAATTGTAGCACCAAATTCACTCAAACAAGTTTAAATGTGGAAAACTAAATAGTATAAACCATTTAAAGCTTAATACACTCAAGGTTTTGAGTTTTTAGTGTGGTAAACCCTATTATTGCTTGGGAACGCCTTGTAAAATAGTCAAAAATTGTCAAGCTCATTTTTAACCGCCTTGAACTATTTCAACAAGTTTCAGATGATAAAAGAAAGTTGTTCAAGTGGTCATTTGACCTTATAACCAAGGAAATAAAAATAATAACTCTTGGAACTTTGCTTTTCCAAAAAAAAAAAAAAACTCTTGGAACTTCATATTTCCTTGGAAAGGTTGCAAGAATGGGCAAATATATTGGGAATGCATTTTAAGCTCTTTAAACCATTTAGAAAAGTTTGAATTAACAACATTAAATTGTTCAAATTCATGCCCATATTTGTTTAAAAGTAGGATTTGTATTGTAAGCTCGAAAAAGCCTTGAAACCTTGCATTTTAGCACTTAAAGAATTAAAATCATTTCAAGTTAATCAAGTTTCTTTGTTTGAACAAGTTTAAATAATTGAACTCAAGATTTTAAAAAGTATTTTCTCTTTGAAAAATTGCTGAAACAAAGTGTCAAATTTTAAGGCTTTATTTTGCAAAAATGATTTTCAAAGTGTAAATCTTGAAATCTCAAAATTATTAAGCTTTTTATGGTCACACCAAGTTTGTGCATAAATACAATTCAATCAAATGTTAAGCACAAAACTCAATTGCACCAAGCATGTCAAACATATACCATAATATCAAGCATTTAAGTGCAAGGATGTGCTTATGTTCATTCTCCCTTAAATAGAAATATAAATAGGTCTCAAGAAAATAAGTACAAAAATCAATTTCACTAAGCATGAGGATATATTTAACGAAGATTATCAAGCATTCAAGGTCTAGAACAAGTGGATACTCAATTTTAGGTTCATACCTCCTTCAAGATTATGCAACTTATAACATGTATCACAATAAATGAACTTTGCATAATCAAGATATATCAGTAAATCTCAAAGGAGAGTTATCAATAAAAATTTATGCACCTAATGTTCAAATAGTAATGGGTAACCAAATTTTTCATTCAAATGAACGAATAGCTTTTGGCATAGAGATTGCCGATTCTCCATTTTATGTGTTTAGAAAGCATCCAATCTTCAAGAAAATATTTGTTTCTCCTTGCTCTAACGCACCTACAAGAGACATTTATCACTTGGTTCTTGGTACCCAAATTGCTTTGAGTCATTGAGGGTTAGTGACCATATCTCTTGTCCATTGAGGAACCCATACTTGTCTAATCTTAAAAGGAGCACGTCTTCTATTAAGACAAGTGATTGAAGAATGAGCAAGAAAAATTACAATGATTGCTATAGCTCATTTTGGCACATAGGTTGTTCTTGAAATGCTCTTATTTTCATTTATTAATTCTTCATATTTCTTTTCAAAAATCTCATTTTTCTTTTTCCATGCTTCAAAATCCATTTTCAATTTCTCATTTGTCTTTCTAAATAAATTTTTGTTTTCTTCAAAAATTCATTTTCAACACTGAACTTCGAAATCATATTCTTAAATTTCAAATTCATTTTTCATATTTAATTGCAAATTCTTCAAAAGCTTCTTGTAATTCTCCAAATGAATATGAATTAGGTTCTCAAGGTGAAAAATTTGCCTTGGGTTCTTCAAGAGCCATGAGGCATGATTTGATTTGCTTTGAGGATTGACTTTTACATGATTCCTCATCTTTATTTGTCTTGTGTTACTTGTTGAACATTCACTTTCACAAAGCTTTTCTTCCATTTCCTCTTCCTTTTTTGTTATCCATACAATTCTTCTAACTTTTCCTGTATATCTTTGGCAACGGAGAACTTTGAGATCAGGTTGAAGTTGTTGAAGTCTAATGCCTTATAAATTACATTCACGGCGCTTTCGTTAACTTGCATAAGCTCTTTGTGTTTCTCAATCCATTCTTTACAATTTGGATTCTGGAAGAGCGTCAAAGCCTGCAACTATAACTTTCCATAGTTGCATGTCTTGTGCCATTATAAACACTTTCAATCTTGCCTTCCATTAAGTAAAGTTAAAATTGTCAAGCATTGGAGGTATGTTGATGGAATCTCTTTGAACATATTCATTTGAGCCATAGAATCACTCTAGGTTGCTAGATCTACAAAATAGAATCCAAGCTCTATTACCAATTGTTAGCTTAATTAGAATGAATAATCCAAGAGGAAGTGAGTTGGATTTCTAAAAATCTTCCATACAAAATAAACTTTCAAAAGAATATACCAAATATTAAGATAGTTAACAATTCAATAATTTTTTAATTGAAAGTAGATGCAATAAAGATAAAGATGGAAGTGTAGAGAGAATTGCAAACTTGATTTATAGAGGTTCGACCCTTCCTTTTGGATTTTTCGTTATCTCCTTTAGCTTGCTAAGGAGTTAAATCCACTATTAATTTCAATCAATACAAATACCTTTTGAAAGGTTTAGGTATAACCTCTCTATCTTTCAAGGCTTAGTTAGAACCTCTGGACAATGCTTTTTAAAGGCTAAGGTATAACTTTCTTATCTTTTAAAGCTTAGCTAGAACCTTTAGAGATTTGAGTGTTTGAGAAAACATGCAAGGAAGAAGACCTCTAAGAAGTGGATATTGCTTAGTGAGTACAAGTTTACAAGGAGACAATATTGAAGATGATCATAAAGAGTAGAAATGAAAACTCAAATGGATTTAAGATCACTTGAGGCTTTGAAAAACTTGGAAAAAATGAAAGCTTGCTCTCCACGTGTTTCTTGTTTCTTATCTTACTCTTCTACATAGATGACCAAAGATGGTGTATTTATGCGTGCAAATCTCATTGGAGCCAATGCTTAGCGTTGAATATAAAAAGAGTTGTTGCTTTGCCGAAATTCTACTTTCATTACTACCAATGCATACCTTTGGCATTGATCCCCTTTTTCATGGGATCAATCCTGCGCTTGAAATTTAGAAATCTATGAGTGGGGGATCGATCCCTAGGAAGCAGCAAGGGATCTTTTAGCTTCTGTCCAAAATGGACTGATCCCTTAACTCTTGGGATCAATCCTTGTAGCTTTGGCTGGGGTTCTTTTTGCTTCTAGGGGAATGATCCTCTAACCCATGGGATTGATCATTGTGGCTGTTATATTAAAAAATCCTCTTAATTTGAAGCTTTTTCATTCATGAATCGTTTTTCCTATTTAGTTTGACTTTAAATACTTGATAAATACATTAATTGAATTTCATTAAGTATTTTAAGATTTTTGTATGTTTCTTAAGCCTACAAGGAATCATTTATTTTGATGAATTCAAAATAAAACTTATTATAGCAATTTGTTTATTTGCTTTTGTCTTTTCAAAATAGGAATAAATTTAAAGCAGATACATGATAAGGAGACTATTTCACCTAAGTGCCCAGTACTCATGTCTCTTTCCTTGTCATTCTTTTGTAGCTGACATATCTAGTGTTGTGGAATGAGATTTTTTGTTGCATTGCCCAAGGTGGCTAAAAAATTTCTTGTGTTGGCTTCCATATCTGCACTTGTTCTTGGGTCAGTGCTCCTCATCACTTGACATTCTAACGACACACATGGCAAATCAAAGAGTGATGAAGTCAGTTTGAATAGAATGTGAATTAACTTCTTAAATTTGTTTAGCTCTAGAGTTATACCATGTGAGCCCTAATGAGACACACCGAAGGGCCATAGTGGAAGTAGAAACAGTTTCTAGACATGCAAAATGTTGCAAATTACCGGTGAAACCACAATTGCATATGTCTGCGTTTTATTACTTCTTTGGGTATTTCTGATACTTTGAGCAGCCATCTGCCTCCTTCTGTCTTAAAAAGAGAGAAAGAGGTGACAAGATAAAGAGCTAGATTGACATCCTTATGATACAAGATTAATTCGCACTAAGTATAGCTTTTTCTGTTTTGTTGTGTATATTAGTATTATATTTCCGAGACTCTATGCAAAATTTGTATGTCTAATGATTCTGCTCATGGTTGACATCAAATGTTTGAAAAATAATTCATGGAGGCCTAAAGAAATTTGCTTTGTTGGACTGAAAGGAGAACTCACAGCTTTGGAACTTATCCTTGATTGATCATTTATAGGGACCTGAACCCTTTGCATGATGTCAGTAGTCGAAGAGGCTACAAGGAAAGGTACTATGACAGCTTAATGCCTTTAGGTCTCAAGTGTACTGAGGTAAATGAGATGTTTGGAACCGGCACATTATGTAAATCCCTATTTTGATAATTGTTTTAATCAGTTTACTGATCGTCTCTAAAATTTATGTGATGGTAACTGAACACAGATTTCATGCAGCTTTTACCTTGGGGAGGAAAGCTTACAAGTGAATCTATAAAGTTTTTCTCACCAATAGTGATATGGACCAAGTTTTCTTCAAGCAAATCCAAACATGAAGTTCTATATTCTGCATTCATGGAATACTACAAGGTAGATGTATTCTTCTGGAAAATGTTGTCATTGCCGGATGTAAATTGGGAATGATAATTGGCATTATTGGTTGTCTCTTGGAAACTGTGCTTAATTTTCCTACTTCATGATGCTCTATTAGACATGGATGGAGCTAATGGAGCAAGCAGTGGAGGATACTGATCCATCTCAAATTAGGTGCAATCGTGAAGCACAGCATAGATATCTAACATGGAGAGCAGAAAAGGTGATTATTCCATGTTTTGCCTTTCCCTTACGGTCTTTTTGTTTTTATGAGCCTATTATGTCTGCTAGCTTCAGATAGGGCCTTTGGAGTTGATTTTTTCATTGCAGTTCAACGAAGATAAATAATTGATTATAGTTGCAAATGGATTTTTTAAGTTTTTGAATATAGAAAGAGCAGATAAAACTATCTACCTAGAATTGTTTGTCATCCCCATGATATTATGTAAAGAAGTAACTAAATGCATGTCACTCTTGCTTCTTTAATCAACTCAGCATTGTCCTTGGTTTCAGTTGCCGAAATTTCCTACTTTTTAAATTATAGAAAAGCTTGCGTTATAACTTATTGGACCATACCATATTTATCTGTCTGGTGTATCCATATTGAGGATGGAAATATGTCATTGACTCATTTTTAATCAACTAAAGCTTTTGCTATACTCTTTTCTTTAACGTGGTACTATAGGTAGCCAAACAATCCTATGTTCAATTCTTGGGAATTTTCATTCTAGTTATTTCAAATTTCAGGGTAGAATGAGACTTAGCCTGTGGGTACAATTGAATTGGGTCCACAGGTAAAGTGCTAATGGGCTTGGAATTGATTTCTAGGAATAACATATTGTAGACTTCTACATGTATTCATTGCTTGCATCAGACCAAGATCAAAGCTTATTTTTTTCATGGATATCCCAGGACAGTGTTGTGTCCCTGATAAACAGGTGGCATACAAAACCTTATCATGAATATTTTCTTGCGTTGGAAGTTGCATGGTCAGCTGTTAAGCCTAAAACTTAAGTATGGTTACATCTGAATAATAATTAAGTAAACCATGAAGATAAGTCCATATTCTTGCCATGTGCAAAAAGTAATGGTTAGATGAGCGGCACTTTATATCAGATAATATTTCCTGACTATTGACACTTATGATTCAATATCATTGGATAAAGGATCAAGAAGAGAGTGTGAGTTGACTGGTTTATTTTCTTAGATGATATTTAATCTTAAATGTTTGAAGGTGCTATTGTTTTATTTTGTTGATGTTTTTGGTTCATATGAAAGCAGGATCCCGGTCATGGAGTTCTAAAAAGGTTAATTGGTGAGAAGCTTGCCAAGGTATATTTTATGAATCATTGAATTTAATGATTCTGTGCCAATTTGCCCTTATAGTTCCTTACTAACATTTGACACTTAATCCTTAGGATTTATTGAGAAACTTCCTTTTTAGTGGCATTGATGAGCTAGGAAGCAAAACATTCCTTGATTACTTCCCTGAGTACCGGAGTGAGGATGGGACTATAAATGAGAGGCGAAGCATCATTGGGAAGTTCTTTGAAACTCGCCCTTGGGATGCTAAAGGAGAATTTGTTGGTAATGACTTGAGAAAATAACTTGTTACTGTGGATTTCTTTCAGCTCCTAGGTTTCCTGTTTCTACCTTCTCTTGCGTACTTGTCTTTTCTATTGCTTTAATTTTCCATTCATTTTGTCTTAAAGAGTTCTTTCAACCTTTCTAAGGAATTGTTCTATGTTATAGTCATTTTCAGAGTATTTAAAGGAGAATGGCTGTATTCAGCCTAATAATTTTTGTAAAATGGTTATCAAAGTTTTGTTTTGTGTTAATAATTTTACAGATTGATTTGTGCCTTGGTATGACATTATTATTGAGGTCCCCTTTGGGTAGCTGATCCACATAGGCCATAGGCATAGCTACCTAATGGGAAGGTTTCATGAGTTCGCAGTAAAGAGAAGACCAAGATGCAACAAGGCAACCATGAAGTTATGGGCAACAAAAAGCAATATCTTGTTACAGGAGATGTTTCATTTACGCTAGTTGATTCGTGGTAACCACAATGGTCAATTGGTTGTGATGTGGGATTATCGTTTTCATATGTTTTAAAGATATCTTTAGTTTTAGTGTATATTCATTTGCCCACAGATGGTGTTTTTATATTAAAATTAGAAGGTAGCATATAAAAGCATGTGTGTGAGGATTGGCTGACTCTAGTAGTTTATTTGCCTAAAGGTGGTAAGTTACAAAGTTATGTTATAGTCTCATGACCGCTTTTATGTGGGAAGGTTACTAATTACATGTCATGCATTTAACCCACAGGTGTTTACATGATGATGTGCTTGGACTTTGTGGATATACTCATTTATGGTTTTAGAGTATTTTGATTACTTTATTTATTCTAATCAAGTTGTATCGTGTAAATTTTCAATTACCTTTTTGTTAATAATAATATGGCCACCATTGAGATTTTGACTAGGTCAAACTTTAAGGATTGGAAAAGAGATATAGAGTTTAGCATTCAAATGGCAAATATAAACATGGCAATGAATATGGGTAGACCTGTAGAGCCTACTGCTAAGAGTTCTAAGGAACACAAGAAATCCTTTGAGGCATAGGAGAAATCTAATAAGTTATGTTTGCTTGTTATTAAGAGGTCAATTACTGAACACCTGTTAAGTGGACTTTTTGATACAATTAATGCAAGAATATTTTTATCTGTAGTAACCCAAAGATATAAGGTGTTGTTAAGTACTGATATTAGTACTCTTATGAAAGGATTGTATTCCATGAAATATAATGGGATAGGAGGAGTTAGGGAATACATCATTAAGATTATCCATTAACTACATTAAAAGCCTTTGATATTATTATTCCCAATGCTTGTATTGTTCATCAAGCCTTGGAACACCTTTTTTTTCAAAATTTGGATACATAGTGATTATCTGCAACTCACAAGATGAGACTTGGAGTATCAATGATCTTATCACTAGATGTGTTGCTGAGGAAGGTAAGATCAAAACTCAAAAGTCCAAGATTGCTCTTCTTGTTACCAAAACTCCTTGCAAGAAACGTAAGAAACCAAATTCTAGTGCTCTTAAACAATATAAAGATACAAAGGAAGGACATGGTCAATTTGTTAATGTGAAAGGTCTTAAAGCTATCATTAAGAAGGAACTTAACTGCTTCTTTTGTAAGGAAAAGAGACATAGGAAATAAGATTGTTTCAAATATAAGGTTTAGCTAGGGAAGCGTGAACATGAAAATAACTTCATGGCTTTTGTTGTTTATGAATCCAATTTACTGGAGGCCCTATCCAATTCCTGGTGGCTTAATAATGGTGCAACTAATCATGTTGCTTTTACCTTACAGGGATTCATAACCAAAAGGAAGCCAAATAAAGATGAGTCCAAAGTAAATGTTAGCAATAATGCAGAGGCAGAAGTAGAATTTATAGGAACAATATGTTTAAATTTAAGTGCTGGAAACACACTTTTGTTAGAAAACACTTTCTATATATTGTCATTCAAATGAAATTTAGTTTCAATTTCATTTTTAGACACTGCTAGTTATGCTTTTGATATTAAGGATTCAATTGCTAGAATAATTTTTGATTTGAAGGATATTGGTTTGTGTTCTTTAACTTGAGGATTATATAGATTGCGTTTGATTCCTATTAACATTTATGCCACCTTATACAATGTTGAAAGAGTTGCCAAAAGGCCTTACATAAAGGAAAAACCTTCCATGCTATGGCATAAAAAGCTTGGGTAGATCTCCAAAGAAAGAGTAAAAGGATTAATAAAGGATAACATCCGACTTACTTTTATTTTTAATTACCTAGAAACGTGTTGACTATTGTAAGGGAAAAATGACAAAAATAAAAGGAAAAGAGTCACATAGAATTTCCAAATGGTTAAAACTTATTCATATTGACATAAGTGGACCATATACCCCTACCATTCGCAATTGTAGATATTTTGTGACCTTCATTGATGATTTTTCTCATTATGGTTATATGTTCTTAATTAAAGAAAAGTTAGAAATTTTTGATAAATTTAAAATTTTTAAGATTGAAGTTAAGAAATAGTTGAAAAAAATCATTAAGGTTGTCAAATCTAATACGAGTGGTGAATATTATGGTAGACATAACACAACTAGACAACAAAAGGGTCCTTGTGCCAAATATTTAAAAAGTTGAATAGTGCCTCAATATACTATGCTTGGTAATCTTGAACAAAATGGTGTGATCGAAAGACGAAATCGCACTCTAAAGGATATGATGAGGAGTATGAGTGGAGCTAATTTACTAGAATTTTTATGGTGAAAAACGATTAAAACAGTCTTATATATCTTAAATAGAGTTCTTACCAAGTCTATTCTTAAAACCCATATGAGTTGTGGAATAGATGTAAACCTAGACTTGAGCACTTATGTGTTTGGGGATGCCTTTCAAAGGTATGTTGTTGGATTTATCACCTAAGTGTATATATCATTAACAAGTAACATATAGAAAGTAAAGTTCATTCCCATGGAAAATCGTCCAAATTTTTTTGCTAAGTATTGAAATTAAAACAACTTAATCTTATCCAGATAATCAAATTTTAAAACTAATAAAATTAAATAAACTAAAACTAAAACTAAAAGCAAGAGTAACAATTTAATTAATTAATCAATCAACTAAAAGTCTAGAACCATAATATCCCCTCAATGTTTCATCTGAATTTCTTCTATTCACTCTTTACTTATTACATAAGCTTGAATTGTTAACCTAAAGTTTTAAATTATTTATAAGTCTCTTCTGATGTTCTTATAAAATATCTTCCTTAACCAATTTATAATATTCCTATGCAAATCGAAATAAAAAAAGATTCATTAAGCTTAGACTCTAATTATGGCTACATATGATATGTAAGTGTGTTCCTACCCTACAAGCAAATCAAATCAATCATCCCATGCAATTGATATTGAACATATGCTACTTCATCCATGGCTTACTTTAAACTCCCTCTTGTAGTTTCATTTAGGTTTTCAAATCAATTTAATTGGTGATCAAGTAATCATATGCATTAAGAACATAATTGAAATAAACAACTCTAACACTATTAATCATAAGCAAGAAAGAATATTAAAAATTTAGACTATGCATTGGATTCAATTGTAACTCTAGATTAAAAACTCAGTTCAACATAATTCCTAAAAACATCATTCAAAAGGAATAAACATTAAAACTAAACAAGAAAGTATAAATAAAATAAAGAAGAAAAGAACTCCGAGATTTGTCAATTCTTCGATCCATGATTCCTCCTTTGAATTCCTTGCCTTCTTGCTAGCTTGAATGTCTCCTTTTCTTCAGAAAACCTTTCTTAATTCTTGCTTAAATCGTGCTATGGAACGGTGCTTTAAATAGGCTTCAAAATCGAATGAGAATAAAAGTAAAAAACAACTTAAATTCTATCTCTACAGTAGGGCCATGGCCACGAGCCTTGTTTCTTTTCGATGGCCACAGCCATGGGCAGGTGATAGCTACTGCCATTAAATGCTTACTTTGAATTTTTAAGCTCTACTGCACTAGTTTGATTTCTGAAGAGATTTTCTCCTTCTCCGGAACTAAACTAAGAAAAGTGGTAAACATGAAAGTTGTAGCTTAGCCTCTTAGATTTTCAATGGTCCATGAATTACATCATTTGGACTTTTGTAGTTGGAGATATAATTGAAATACCACAACATGTGCAGTGGACATCTACACCTACAATGCACTCTCCAACTTCAATTAACAGTGCTTCAACATAACATACCGATAAAAGTACATTTTAATCAATAGCAGCCATACTTAGATAAATCAACAACTAACTTAGCCTAAAATAATCTAAATTCAATTGACCCAACATAATTTACTTAAAAAATAAATAGCTAAAAATTTAAGATAAAATTCAAGAACGTAGCAATTAATTAATCAAAATTAAGACCAAATAATTATATATCATGGAGTTATCAAGGTACGCCTTTTTGATCTCACTGAAACTAAAATAAAGTATCGTTCCACTAGTTGTTAGTTTTTTGGGTACCTATATTATTCCAAGGGTTATATATTTTATTATGTTAATGGAGGTGGTAAAATTGTTGAGGCAAAAACAACTAAGTTTCTAGAATTGGATGTGGCTGATACTAGTTGCTTTAAAGTGAGAGATGTAGGAGAACATACTAAGATAGTAAGAATTCCTATATCCATAGAAAAAGATATAGGAAAACTAAGATCTCGTGCTATACCTTTAACCTTCCTAACACATAATTATCTCCAGTAAACTCATGCTATACCTTTAACCTTCCTATAGGGTATGTGGAACTACATCACATACTATCCTAAAGAACCATGTTTCACATGTTCTATTATTGCTCACATAAAGCATATCATAAGTTTGAGGGTGAGAATGCCTACCTACACCTAAACATTTGAGTTTTAACTTAATTTTCATTTTCCAACTTAATGGAGTTGAAGTTTTTGAAGTAAAACGGTGAAAAGGGCTTGTCCCTCTTGTTGAAAACTAATACACAGTAAAATATTTACATACATAGTAGAATGGCAAACTAATTGAAAATCATTTATGTCATCTCATTTAATAAATCATCATCAAATCAAATCCTTCAATCATACTTTTTGAAATCTAGTTGAAAACATTAAAAGTCAAATCCTTCGATAATCCATTATTTGAAATAGTATTTCATCATGCAAAATCATTCATTTTCATAGAAATCTTGCTTACTTTATATATTAAAATACTTGAAAAGGTGTATCTACTCACATTCAAAATGTCAACCTCTACCAATAAGTAAGACTTTACTTCAGCGAACTCTAATCCTAGAACGTCAAACAATCAATAACATCATTGCTCAAATTATAATCATATAATAACCTTTCTAAACCTTTTTGAAACTAAGCAGGTTTATCTAAAACTAGTTTTCTAATATAAATTCACTACTACTTAACATAGTAGATGCTTAGAAACCCACAAATCCTTCATCCTTAACTTAGGTGAGCTTTGATGCTAATGAAAATCACAAAATCTTTAAGCATATATAGTTAAGAAACTTCTCAACATAAATAATGTAAGTACATTCATTCAATAACATAGTTAAAGTTAAAAACTCATATATCATGCCATAATCATCTATCAACACCCTCGGTTGTCCATGTAAGTGATCGAGCCACCTTTGCACAATTATCCATAACATTTATAAAGTAAATGTAAAACATTAACTTTTTTCATGTCTATGACAATAATTATTGAATAATATAGCATTCACTTCACGAAATAGACGAGGTTTATGATTTTTCATTGATAACTTATTATTTTTCTCAACCACAAAAAGACATAAAATCCAAAATAAAA